AGGGGATTCATATAGGGCAATAATGGCTGACTCAAGTGTTTGGTTTTAAGTACAAATTAAGCACCAACCAAAGAAAGGACAACAAGGTACCATAAGATCAGAATTGTAATGGGGATGACCATTTCTTTTCCTGTTATGAGTAGATGATTGATATGTCAAGCATGCTGATTAAAAGCAGATCAATAAATTTAACTGTTGAGTTTTGTGCTTATTTTGTGGATATTTTATGTGGATAGTTCTCTTGTGGAATCATGGATGCAATCTTAGGGAGCGAGAAGGGGCCTTTAATTGAAGAATATTCGTCCTATGGTGCATATCGGCCAGCAAACAAAGTTATGCACACACCATTGAAGGGAAGGATATGTCAATGAGTATAAAAGTCAGAGAACTTACTCAGAAAATGAAGAACCGGAGTCTAGGTTTAAGTGCCAATAAAGCCACAACATTACCTAATCTTCAGCATTTAACGGAGTTGGGACATTGTACAGCAGCATATCAAGAGCATATATTGTTTTCAAATGGCAGAATAAACCAGCTTGTAATTCAAAACAAAATTGAGAAATATGTGCCCTCATAAAACATTAAATGCAACAACAAACTGAAATATAGACAAATGAAATTTTAAAACTGAACTTGAAAGCAAAGAAATTTTGGAAGAACAAAAAACAAGAAGTTACAGCAGTACATAAAGATATAAAAGATATAATATCCAATTACTTTTTTTAGTTTTTCAACCACCTAAATTTTTATCTCCTGTGGGAGCAAGAAAGCACCATATCAGATTCACGGCAAGAAAAGCCCTCCAAATGTAAGGATGTCATTTAATTATGCCACAAATAGAAGTATATACAAATTATATGTAACATTCAATATCTCTCTATTTACAAAGTAAAAAATAATGCTAAACTCATCTTTTCCTACAATTACAGTTTATGTACAGAAATTTAATATCCAGTTTGATTGTTTGCTATGATACAAAGGTCATGTTTGGCAGAAGAGATGATACCCAGAATATACATATTGTCAATCTGTCTTGAGACACAAAATGCTTGACTGCAGTTCCTTGATTTGTTAAACATCAATTACCCATCACGTACCTCAGATATTAAATGCACAATATTTCTGTTTGCAACTAATGATAATCCATTAAGAGAATACTCAGCAGAGGGAGATTTACCCAGAGTTACTGTTAAGTAAATTACCCTTAATATGTTGTCACTCAAGTATTTCAAATCGTCAAATGTGTTGTCATTTTGAAATCAAATTGATAAAACAGTGACAGAATACTTCTAATATCAACTAGACATAACATGTATTCGGTCACTATTGCATCACTCTCACCTCAAAATGACATCAAATTCAACTATTTGGCATCCGCCCTATCTGACAGATATGACTTATCGTTTACTGTGACTTATCAGCAAAGATGTCAGTGTACTGTAAACAAATTCTTGACAAATCTCTGCTTGTTGGGTGAGTATTTGTGTGTTGCTGTCATTTTAAAAAGCTATAGGACGTTTAATGAGAATAATTTTGGAGGATTTGGGAGGATCCTGTAGGACAGGATTCAATAATAGGAATTTGACATGAATGTAACTGCCAAGTACAAGAGGTGGTTTTGATTCTAACAGCTTAAGAACAAATAGAATAATACTTCCTAAAGCAAACAATGCAGCTATTGTGTTCAAGAAAATCACAGACTAAGGGTGGACTGGGAATGGAACTGAAATGGAAAAACTTCAAAATATCACGAAAGCATGAAAGTGTTCATGACAGGAATAAACAGATACAATTGATTTTTACATTGTTAGCCTACATCACATTACAAAGAAATACATGGACCCATGTATGTTTCATACTTGGGTTAAACATAAATCCAAGACAGTTGTAACTTTATACATGAGCACATATACTTGTAACATTAAAAATATGTTATGTTCTGCTACATGGCAAACTGTCAAGGACAGAGCCTTTAGTAACTTATGAGTACCTAATAGGATTGGGTGCAAAACATGGCACAGTCTGGCATCAATCTCTAATGAAACATGACCTACCCTTAAAATACATTATTTTGATAAAATATGTTTGTACTATCAGAAAAAAACACATAAGACATAACAGGTAATTCATTTATATAAAGAAATATACTGAACAATATATATTGATTAAAAAAAGGACAACGACCAAAACAATAAGAATGTAAGAAAATTTAAGAAAAGCAGAAAGTCGAACACTTAAAATGCAACAGGAAATGTTAACTCTGGGTTTCCGGCACTGACCTTAACTTAACAAAGGACATGGCTTCCTGAAACATACAGTCTAGGGTGAAAGAATACACATTAAAATACAACAGCAAGTAAACTGATTGGGAATCTCAGAGTTCAGATATGAATGAGGTATAAGCCTTGACAATAATCAAGAGATTTCAGATAATTTAAAAATTAACAACTTGTGCGACTTTACAATCAGGAAATTCTTATAATCAGTAACAATCTATTACATGGAATATATTGTAGTAATTTTAAGAGAAGAATTACTTTGAGCCTGCTTCAGAGAAAGGTGGGAATATGGAAATGTGCGTAGTATTCAAAGGCTTCAAAATTTCCATCAGAAAGAAAGAGTTGATCCCATGGACAGTGGTTGGATCCAACTATTACAGGTAGCACATAAATACTGACTAAACCACAGCAATTTTCCTCTATGAAACTCTACTTTTGTTAAAACAATTATTAGACACTTAAGCTTTTATGCACTTGTATTTGAAACAGCAAGCATTTGAATTGTGTGAAAACTATCCAACAAATTTTGTTAAGAGTTTAGGAAACACACTTGAAATTGTTGAGAAAAGACTATTTTAAACTAGCAAAAATATGTAAAACACAGAATTTATAGCAGCAATTAAATATAGAAGTTATCATTTATGGCATTATTTTCATTCTCATTCTCCAAACTATGAAATCCTAACAAAAGTTAAAACTTGATTCCCTTTGATATATACACAACTATTCTAAATGAGCACCACTTGATCTCCGAAGATCTGTGAAAGTTTCAGCATCTAGGTTCTGCTGTCAACATGTATGAGGAACGGGCCCAGGTCTACAGATATATTATTGTCATCTACTCGACGTTGACAGCAACAGCAAATTTGTTCTCAACTCATTCATATATCCGAACACTATCCATAGGTTACCTATTGAACACATTAAGCACACCTTCTAAAAACAATTAATACCAACATGATATCTTCAAACATATAGATGTCTTAAATAAATTCCATAATGCACAACATCTAGAAAACATTTAATTTCAAAAACTTGAACAAACTCACACCATGCTAAAAACAATGCATAAGCTGAGTTGAGAGCAGTACTTACTGAAGCTATCAGTGATCACACATCTTAACAAAATATCTTAAATTCTACACACATCCATGCAGAGAAATAAAACAATTCATAACAAATCACAATCTGTTCTGTATTTTTACTTGAGATTATAAAAGGTAAAAATCTGTAATTCATCACACCAATTGCATCAGTTCTACACCGTAGCTGCCATGTGATACAACACATACGCATTACTAACATTCAAAATTATATATCACTTTCATAAATGGCATACAGAAGCTTAACCGCCCCAACAATTGAATAACCTACCATTCATTTCCTGAACACTCATTTCTTCTGTTTTAAATCCAGTCTATTTAAGTGTGCTCTTATGAGCACACTTTGTCTCCTTGAGCTCAAAATTGAAGAAAACCTAATTTTATACCATTCTGCAACCTCACATACTCATGATGTCACATTTTACATTTATCATTTTTAAGAATGGATAAAATTGTATTTCTTTATAAAAAGACATTGAACATTCTGATTGAAATATAAGATGACATAATATCAATAGCATGAAGTCAAAGCAGAGTTGGAAAAAATGCACTACTGACCAACTAACACTTGCAGTACATTATATAAAATCCAGTGATATGAGGAATTAATTCATGATTTATGCATCCCCCATCCACACCCAATTTAAAAAAATTAGAAACTTGTGATACAAAACCATGCATGAAATCAATAATATAATAATATGCGACCAAATGTATGTCCAAGGAAATTATTGTTATCACAAAGCATTTCATTACTTCCTTATAATATCTTCAATTCGAGGGATAAAATAAAATTGTAGGAAACATTGTGTGAAGAGTAGCTGAGAAGATTTCGTCTCAGTTCATAACTATGCTCCACCTTTGACACTAAAGGCAATGACATATGGCACTGTATTTTCATGACAACTTGTTTGGACATTTGCCAAAGATTTCTCCTGATCTGTTGGGCAAAGTCTTTTCAAACTCGCATAATGCTCTATGTATAAACTCATACTGCTCAGCTGTCTGCACCATGCCTCCTCTGCAATTCAAAAAGTTATATGTAAAAAAAATTCAATTATCTAAAAAATAAGCAAGAAAATTAATTTTAATATATATTTAACATGTATGTACCTGTCATGTCGAAGTCTGCACACAATACCTAGCACATCAACATTGTTCTCTTCCGCAAGCTGGATAGTACCTATGGCAACAGCTAAAAAACAACCAGTTCTTCCAATCCCTGCACTGCAATGGACAATCACAGGAGCTTTTCGGGGTACATTGTCACCATACTGTTTTCGGAGTTCTGATAGAGACTTTTGGCGGTATGCTTCAACTTCCCGAACAAGTTCAACAATACTCCTGGCAGTATCAGGAGTCTTATGGTCTGGCCATGTGTCATACCAGTAGTGTTGGATCAACCGCGTTTCATCACCTCTCTGTAATATAGAGGTATTGTAGAACATTGAATATTTCATCATCTTCATGCTTGGAATATGACCACTGAAATTTGTATAGCTCACCTGGACCCTCAACTCTCTAACAACATAACCATCTCTTGGCAAAACCTTCTCCACTGAAACAGTAATATCACCATACTTCCCAATCGAGCCTGGTCCACCTAGTGATTGACTCATAGAGGGCGAATCAGGAGGAGACTCTCCATCCTCTTGTTGAGGATTCATTGGGATGTACGGCTCACACTTGCATTTACACGTCTCAACAAATCTTGTTATCATGACTATCACTGACACTCCTTCACCCCACACCATTAACCAGAAGTCTATAATAGTATTAGGAAGAGGTCCTTGAGTGGCTATGTAAGCTTTGTCCTCACCGTCATAGCCCTGTCACGGAATAGAAGTATAATTGATGAAGACAGATGTTTTAAATTCCAAATAGGATACAATGAATTCCAACTGACTTAACATACCCTTATATAGTTGGCATTAATGTAACAAGCTAACTGGTCCTCAGCTGAGCCAGGTGTCATTCCAGAATTTGGAGGGGATATTTGAACACGGGTGCGTTCATTAGGAAGAATGGTTTTATACCTATTCTTAAAACCAGCTCCAGCAACACCCACATGTTCACTATGATTAGAGGGAATTTCCCAGAACTCTCTATGAAGCGAGTGAACATCCTCTAAGCACTTTCGCAGCTGTTGGCGACTAAGCATGTTGCCAGCAGATAAAAGATACTCATCTGTACTGCTAATAAAGAACAAGAACAACAAAAATAGTGACTCACTTCAATTGAATAAAATCTGCTTCAATGAAAATTTCACTCTGATAAACTTCTGTTGACAGCATACATACCATTCCCTTGTCGGACCACAGAGAGTAGAGATATTTTCCTGGCTTGGATGAAGGTCAATTGTTAGGGAAGCACTTGAGCCTCTCCTTTCTAATAAACCTTTAGCTTTAATGCGAATAGGTTCAGGACGAATTTCAGAAGCAAACCGATTTCCAGCTCCACATGAGGAGGTGCTGGGACCAGCCACTACAGCACTCTGCCGTAGTGCCTCTGGCAACTGAGCTTCGGCTAAAAGAGCATTTTTGTTTAAATATCATATTACTTTATGCCTTTTGTAAGTTCAACCACAAGATAAAATCACTTACCAACACATGTTTCCTGCACAGCTGAAGATGTTGACTGAAGTTTCCAACAGTGGCTGGAAGTGACCTCTTCAGAGACTACAGCTGTGACTGTTGTATTGGTCGTCTGAGACACAATATCCTGAGCTTCAGTCATTGACTCTAGCTCCTCACAGTCCTTTTTCTTCTTTGAGAGTAACATTTGGCTTTTAAACCAGAGGAGCATCTGAAAATTGAACTTGAATGAAGTAGAATTCATAGAAAAACACCACAATGTAATTCACAGTTCACAGTTGACATACCACAAAACCCACAGCAATGACTCCAAACGAGAAGAGAACTGGATATTGCCACTCAGTCCAACCAGGCTGCTTGAACAAACGCTTTTCACTCCAGATGACATTCTCTGTAGAAGAACTAGAGGCACTCTCCTGGGACAGTTCAGAATCTGGCACTGATTGGCGGGCTGATGCCATTGTCTTCTGGCCGGCAGCGCCTTTTCCTGGCCCGTTCTCCATGCTAATCTCTAGAAGGTGGAAAAGGACTGATAAAATATAGACCCAAAACCAAAGAAAAGCTAAATCATAAAATTAACATGTAAGCTTACCTTCATCCGTGTCATGGACTCTAAGATACTTGTATAAATCTCAAGAAAAATATACTTGGAAGTATTTTAATTGAGTAAACTAAATAAAATGTCTGCGAATATTCACCAGTCCATCGCTACAATGAGTACATTTTGACAGCTATCCCATCTGTCTCTTGTAAACTAGCCCAGTTGAAGTAGAAATGCCTAAAAACAAAAAGAAAACAAGAAAAAATGAACACCAGTAAATTGCAGAAAGTTAGAATGAGCAAATACAATCTTGCAATAAAATCCTCATCAATCAATTATTACATCAGTGAGATGGTAAAATAGTAAGGTAAACATTACAGTAATGACCCATAAACATTGTAGGTTAGGGTGCCCCGGGTGCACAAAACTGGGCGCATTTCAACTCATTCCAACAAAAACAGGCACACAAATCAAATCACTCTTTAAAGAGAAATCGGAATAAACACACAAGGACGCGGATATCCAGTGATCCAGTGGCACACCGTGCTGGCAAACCACTACCTACGTGTAAACTCCCACAACTTTAAAGGGCGACCCGCAGTGCAAACGGGCCAGAATCAAAACAATGCTCCACTTCGCGCAAGATTCGCACTCCGGCGACGCTGCCACATGCCAGGGGAGATACCAGGAGAACCTGTCACGGCAGGCAAAGTACTCGACGGGCAAGGTCACCACTGCAAACTGCTCCCCGAATCCCGTAAACACCAAGGCAGCAGCCTCCTTTCCACGCAAAACACCCCGAGCAGGCTTGTCACCTCTTCGTGGCGGGCCGCGGGGACTGCGAGCGCGGGCACGTCCATCAGGCGCGGCCGGGTCCTTCGACACCAGCCTCTGCGTCAGTGACGACAGCAATTATCCGTTCGAGCGCATCAATTTGCAGCAGTTCACTCATTTCTGTGTGCGGGAGCAGGAGCAGCAGCAGCAGTCCACGGTCGACGACATATTGAATGGCATGGTTGGCTCTGCAGGGGCGACAACCGACGGACACCGAGTCGGGTCAAGCCGATCGGCCCCGTTCGGAAGGGAACCCCGCCCCACCGCGGCACCCCGGGCTGCAACCCTTGAGGGGGCGGCAGCGCGAACCAGGAGGGGACGAAACTCGCGTGAAATGTCGGGCGGGGCCGGGGGCCGAGGCCGGGGTACCGAGTTTTGAGCTGCGTAGTTGGCGGCACCCACTTGTGTGCCCGCTCCGCTCACCTCCCTCTCTCTTTCTCGCTCCTCTCTCTCCTTTCCGCCTGTCCCGGGCCCCCCTCCGCTGTGGGGGTGGATCCCGCTCGGCCCGCCCCTGTCCCGCTGCCGTCTCCTCTCTCCCCATCCAATCATTACACCCGGGGAGGCAGGCGCGAGGCGGGCGCGGAGGTGCCTTTCTCGCCTGTCTCTGTCGCTCAGGCCCCCCCCGGCGCCCGCAGGTCCTACAGGTGCGACGAGGACGGCGTGAGCGAGTGGACCCGCGGAGACGACCCGCCGCCGCCGCGGCCGCCGCGGCCGCCCTCCCCTGTTTCGCAAGGCGCGGGACAGGAAAGACACAAATAGCGGCACCGCCGCGGCGGCGGGCATCGCCGTGGCCTGCGCGCGCCAAAAGTGCGGGGAGACAGAGAGAGACAGAGGCGGTCCTGCAGCGTGCGCGACAAGGAGAGGACGACGACACGGAAGGCGAAGACGGCGGCGACGACGTCCTGAACACGCGTTATTCTCTGTCTGCCACCCGCGTCGTCGAGAGGCCGCCGCCGCCTCTGGGTGACGGCGGCGGAAGTGCCAGGGGGCTGACGTCGCCGGGTGACGGGGGAAGTGCCAGGGCCCAGGGGGCCGCCGTCGCCGGGTGACGGGGGGAAGTGCCAGGGGCTGCCGCCGCCGGGTGACGGGGGGAAGTGCCAGGGGCTGCCGCCGCACTACACTTCGCTCCCACCGTCGGCGTCCCTGACCTGCACCAGGATCGGCGGCGGCGGCTCCTCATCCTGAGCCCTCGCGCGACACGCGCACCAACGCCAACGCCCTCCACTCCCTGCTGCAGGGCGCGGGGCCCGCGCGGGGGGCGCCCGCCCCCTGGCATGATGGTCCGCCCCCGCAGCGGCGCCCCCCTTCCCTCCTTCCTCTCCCTCCAATCCTACCAGAAGGGCGATGACGTCACCGCCACGCACTCCACTGTAAAAATTCCCGTAGTAAATTACGGAAAG